TAGTCAGTATGCTAGGCTGGGAAATGCTAGGTGTAGCTATATTCAACCCAATGCAATGAAGGAGCACTTGCAACCATAGTTCATGTTATCCCACAAAATTGGTTAGAGGTAGAGATCTCTGCAAAGTTAGCAAATAATAAGGAGTGGTTAACTGCACATATGGACCATGGCCAGAACCAAGATAAGCAGATGTCTTGCAGCCGTTGGATGAGACATCTGTCTGCTTTTAAAGTGTCTATTTCCACCCAAGCTCATCTTGTCAAATAGGTGAACCACCAAACAATAGAGCTTGGACTTATTTTGAAGAAAGCACACTGCATTCCCCATGCATTCTAATGTGACTGTAGTGAGCATTCTGGTAATTGGATTAGCTACGGATTGTTCTAGCCCTGCTCACTTCAAAACTGGTTAGACATGCAGTAAACGAACAATGACTGCACTAATCCTAGTCTAACACATAAGAGAAAGGCAATGTCCCTGGTGTGTTTCTTATTTTACTTGTGTACCTTGACCCAAATATTAAACCCCAATAAAAACTTACCCATTAGCTTTTGTATATAATCACCTTATATATGTGAAAAGCCAACAAAACTAAATGTTCTACAATGGCTGTGTTGCAACTGTAAATTGTATTTTAGACTTCTATACTGCTCAAAACATTATCTGATAAACTGCTTTTCAAAGAATCCTCCAGAAAGGTTCAAATGAGAGAGTTGGTTCCACCGACCTGTAGAAAACACAAGACTAAAAGAGTTTAAAAGGGCTTCAAGAAGCCAGTAGCCCGGGTGCTTTACAAGAAGACTAACAAAAAACAGAAAATACCAAATAATGTAGGGTGGGAGCTAACCTCCCTGGAGGATTCTTGGAAAAGGAGTTGTCCGGTAATAATTCAGGTTTTCCCATAATCATCCTCCAGGACGGTTAACATGAGATAATAAGCAACATGTTGCCTAGGGTGGGGCAACTGATTAAAGCACCAAATATCTAGACTTCTAAGATGGCATCAGATGAGGCCTGAACATCCACCTAGAAAAACCTGGAGAATGTGAAAAATGAAGACCAGGCGGTAGGCCTAAAAATCTGAGCGACAGAAGCCTGATGCTGAAAAGCTAATAAGGCATGTGCCCTGGCAGAAAGGAGGGCCGTCCTTGAGACTATAAGCATGAGGAATGGCCTGCTTGAGCTGAGAAATGGTGGAATGGTAAGCTGGGTCATTCTTATGGGGACCATCAAAAACAGAGTAAGTCTTCCTGTAGGAGGCAGTGGCTGTAAGATCAGCTTCTCACCGCCTGATCTACATATGGAAACGGAGGGAGTTTTCTACCTGATAACCGATGATCTGGTTGAGGTGAAACTTTGTAGGTTTTGTAAATATCCCTAATTGTGAATGCCCTGAGGGTGTAGAAAGGCTAGAATTGTGGCTAGCAGCAGGCCTAGCTTCTTGGTGAATACCCAAGGTGCTGAGAAATGGCCAGAAGGCAGGGTCACAAACTGAACGAACAATGGAACCACAGCCAAGCCTAGGAATCGATAATGCTAGACATAAAGTCTAGGCCTTGATGAAAGGTGGTCATGAAACCATTCCACCACAGGTACAGAGGCAAAGCTATCCTGCTCCAGAAGACCCACCAGGGCTGTGTGTAGATCTAGAAAACTGCATGTGGAAACAGGCAGGTTTGAAGAGAAAACCAGAGAGTGGGACTGGAACAAAATACTAGCGAGGAACGCCTGGAAATAACCTCCTGTATCTGAGATGTTGGTTATCCAAGTGTCCGCAAAAACTAACAGACGGCCCATCCTTTGAAAAGTGGGGGCACCCCCTAATGCAGAGAAAGATTTATCTGAGGGACCAGGGAACTTGTAAATCCAGGGTCTGCGGATGTACTGGAAGGCAGACTTAGCTTATGAAGTTGGGGCCTGGCTGAAAAAAAAAAAAAAGGACACTTGTCCTCCAACAGGGAGTAAGTCTTCTCAGAGTAAGCCCTAAGTTTTTCCTGCTAGGGAAGAGTATTCTTGTCCCCAGTAACATCCTTGAAGGGCACTCCAAAGGGATGTTGTCCCATTAGATAGATTGTGATCTACCAGTAGCTCTCAAAGCTGATGCTGGTAGATCAGGAAGGGTGTGAATGGCGGCTCCTTTATTCCATTTGGGTACATTTATTTAGCTGTGCGCACATGATTACCTATTAGCCTGTGTCTGCTGAGCCAAGCTCCCCGGCACCTTTCTGGTGGATACTGGTGGTTGAAGTGCTATGCATTACATCAAAGAATATTACACAGCCTGTTGCACTGCTTGCAAAATACAGCAAGATGAGCCAGGAGAGAGCACGAGGAGAGACAGCCAGGGGAGAGAGCACGAGGAGAGAAAATAAGGAATGAGCCAGGAGAGACAGCCAGGAGGATAAGCAAGGAGACAGCGCAAGGGAGGTTTTCTTTCGTTGGTAGATCTCATGTAGCTCGTCATTTGAAAAGTAGATCTCAAAACACAAAAAATTGTGGGCACCCCTGTGCTAAAGTAAGTGCTTTTTGCATGCAGGTTCCACAGCCCAATACTTAATTCAAAGAGTTCACCTCATGTTTACTGATAGGAGTCTCCCATCTCGTTTGCCAGATGGACCTCCTAACAACCCTACTAAACTGTAGTTCTAGGCCAGTGGTGCCGAACCTTGGCACTCCAGCTGTGCCAAAACTACAAATCCCAACATGCATCCGCCTCTGGGAGTTATGTCTGTGGCTGTCAGAGCCTTGCAATGCCTCATGGGACTTGTAGTTCCAAAACAGCTGGAGTGCCAAGGTTCGCCACCACTGCTCTAGACTGTGGGCAAGGGCACCAGAAGCTCGGTAATCAAGGTATCAAGTCCCTTTGTGACCAGCTCCCTCCTAATGGCCTTAGGCCAGTCAGCCAGCGTTTGATAGGCTAATGTCAAGGCCAAGACAGGTTGCACTGCAGGGCCTGTTAGAGAGAACCATGTTCTAGAAAAGGCTTTCTGTCATTTGCCAAAAGGGTTCTTAAGGACAGGTGACTCCTCCACTGTAATGGTGAACACTCCTAATGGGATACTGCCAGATCCACAGAGGGGGCAGTCTTCTAATCAACAAAGCCCTCCCCCAACAAGGACAGGTTATAGATGCTTGGGAGGGGCAAGGAACTTGTCAGGGTTCTTCCAATCTATACAGAAAGACTGCACCCAGCGGGTGCACCAGAAAGATCTTGGGAGCCTTAACGGAGCGAAGACTGGGAACAGCACTGGTAGAAGCTACACGCTGATCATCAAGTTAAAATGTTGCCTTGTCAACATGGCATACAGGAATTCCTTGATAAATATCATTCTAAAATACAGAAAAGTGCTGCTGCCTGTCTATCTCTGGAGAATACTGCAAAAAAAAAAAAATATATGCCCCCCACAAAGGGAAGCGATAGAGAAATAGGCTCACTGACCATTAAAACAAAGTATTTGCCCAGCTCTGCAGATCCTGCAACCTTATCTGCATACATTTTGCAGCTCATGTCAAAGCCATCAGATCGATAGAGAAAAATACAGAGGCTCCGATCCATGCAGTTAAACGAAGGAGACAGCACCCTCACTGTCCTCCTTCAAGCGCTATCCAGAAGGACTATGAAAATAACATTCTAACCGCATGATGCGCAGACATTATCGTGGCACATCTGGGCCTATTGACATCTATGCATTGTGGTAACTCACCGTAAAAGGCCTTTTGCCAAGTTGAGGTAATACAGTGCACTGCACCTCAGCACACCATAATGCACATACTATGTGTTTCGGGTGCTGCATAAGAAATAATGGTGTATGTTTAATTGTATTGCGATGCATTGGTCAAATGAATGAGCCGCCTTAACACAATGCACCATTACCACGCATTTGTTAAAGCAACGCGGCAAACAAAATGTCCCTACTACCCTCTACAGCTGCAGTCACAATGCAGTAATTCATCCTTAAGTTGATAATTATTATTTTTTTTTTTTTCCCCCTCTTTGCCAAACTGTAATGTAAACAGAGTAGGTACACAGGAAGAGGGGAAAGAGCAGAATGCAGACACGTGACTTTAATAACTTCACTGGATCTCTTGTGAATGTTGATGATTAATTGCTTCAGTGGGTCTACAGCTATAGTGCTCCATGAGGGCTTCTTTTCAAGCTTATTTACTACTCATTGACAATAGGTAGATAGTTAAATGTACATAGGCTGGTCAGAGTTGAGCTTTAAACTCAGAGGAGGTGATATTGGTACTGCACTGTTTGCCCATTTGACAATCCCCTATAGATTGTGTTATCCGTACTTCATGAATAGACCTCAATCTCAGTCTACAAAACACAGAACAGTTTATTTCTGACATTACCATTAGTTTTTTGATTTCACTTGCAGCTTTAAGTTTGCTCTTAAAAGCATAAGTAAAAAAAACACAAAACCTATATTGAAGAGTAACCTGTTAAGAGTTGTTCTCAAAATGTTTACTTTGCCATATTTGTAAATCTAATGCCATCAATGACTGAAGGCAACATTTTCACATTTCAAATAAAGTATGTTGGAGGCACTGCCTCCGTTTGTAAAATAATGTTCTGCTTAGCATTTGTTAATGTAATTCTTACTCCTAGCTGGAACTAATCATTAAAATTAAGGACAGCTAGTACATGTCTCATTTTCTCTAAAAAGACAGGTTCACTCTAAAAAAAATATTCTGGGAGCAAACTCTGAAAAAACTTTGACACCTTTTCCTCACTTATTCCCATACAGGAGTCCTGTTTGCATTTAGTTATTGCACTCATATCTGGAATCCATGAGACCATGATGTTGAAAATTGCAGTAGCTGGAGCGGTCCTTCCACGGCATCTGCAAGCGGACTACATATTCCACAATAGAAGGCTGAAGACGGATCATGTATTGACAGACAAGTAAAAATCTTCTGTAACCAGAGTTTCTCACAAATAAAGACAATATATGTTCTTGTTGGCCAGTCACAATCTACACAGTGGTCCTGTTTTAGCGACGTTTCTTGAAGCCTGTAAAGAGTGTAGGGAAAGTAAGTCACTTGTACAGCTGTCACGCTGAGAATAATCACATCAATAGATGACAAATGCATCATTATGTACAGGGGTCAACATTTTCAAGTCCTGAGCTACTAGCCAGGCCTTAAGAGTTACTCGCCACCAGTTGCCCACCTAACCCCTACCATCAGCCCCTAAACACACCCTCTTAAATAATCTTATCAATGAGACTGTTACACGGTTTATGCAGAATAAAGTTACAAGAATAAATATTAACAACTTTAACAATATTACCATAAAGCTCCCTGCCCCCACATATAAAATAATACACCCCCAATTTCCACTCGCCTGCACTGCATTTCCACTCGCTAAATGCGAGCAGGCGAGTGGAAATTTTGAGCCCTGATTATGTACATATAGTAGTAATAAAAATTAAACATACTGCACCTACAAGGACAAGCAAGGGAAGTTACCTTTCTTTTTTCCTTTCTTTGATTTTTTGATTCTTGGTTTCTTGGCTGATGGGATTAGGTCCTATATCAAAAAGACATTAGAAGAGCTATTAACGCATTTAATGCAACAAACAAGAATTGATATTTATAGGGAAAGAGGGAACAACTTAAATCACCTATCCTTTAAATTGCTTTTAAGGCACCATAGACATATAGAACTATTTACACTGTTTAGTCGATAATAACGGCAATCTTAAGGGGTACGTTTGTTTTTCCTCAACAATAAAGAGCATCAATATAAAAATACACACAATTACTCTAACTGTGCCTATTGTTTGGTGACACACTGTATATTTATTCCACAACATTAAATGCCAATACTCAGTCCTTCATTGGCACCAAGAACTCTGCGTGCTTAATTCATCTCACCTCTGTCCTTGCATCTCCTCCAGTGAGAGCACTGATGTCAGTGAAGTGTGTGAGAGAATTGAGCTGGGAGGTCATGGCAAGTGTTCTCTTCTTACGAGCCTTTTCTTTTCTAGTCAGATTCAGTCGTACCATCATGGATTCTTCGTAACGTGTGCTTTGAAAAGGAAATTGATACATCTAAGAATATTGTTTATGGGAGTTTTGATATAGGCAAAAAGCGAAATCTTCAATGCCAACTATGTGCGCAGGCAGTACTCTCCATAAACCACTCACCGGTGCTGCTCCTCTTTTTCATGTTGCATCATATGATAAGCTCGGCCCTCTCTGATCTCTTCTGGGGCATCAGTGTACTGTTCTTTCAATTCTCGAATCACAGAACTGCTCAGAGCTCGTTTCTTGGCCCTGTCTAAGATCCTGCGCTCCCGCTCTGCTTCTGTGTCATCTGCAAGATGGTTTTGAGTCAGGGTACAAAGAAACTAGTTTGCCAGGGTTACGTGAAAGCCATGCATCATCTGTGTTTCTTACCATAATGCACTGGTGCAAGTCGCGGGGGCACATATTTTCTCCCCTTGCTCTGGGATTTCTTCCCTGCCCCAGCCCCACCTTCATCTTCATCCTTTCCTGATTCTTCCTGATCAGACTCCTCCAACTGGTGTTTTGGGCAAAGGGGAAACAAAAGACAATGGCTAAAATATTATGAACTGAAGAGAGCAGGGAGCATCATGGCATGTTACAGGAGTCTTAACCTCACCTTGCTCATTAAGTTCTGAGGATTGGGTTTGAAACGTAACGGATCATTCTCACCGAGGCTCCCAGTCACAGCAGCTCTCACCATCTTATCGATTTGGTATTTTAGTTTTTGATCAATGGGACGCATTTTCTCCAACACCTACAAAATACACAAGCCTCTAAAAGCCTTTTCTGAACGTACTCAGTAAAATACTGAACGGCATGCAATTTGGTTGGAAATGCAAAGCTGCCAATTGTTAAAATGCTATAAAAGTAGAATTCCACAGCAAGCATACAGAGACTTGTTCTTGGCACTTTAAAATTCACTAAGAAGAATCAAAGCTTGCAACAGACCCATCAATGACCAGTCCATACGTCCTTCCTGTGGCTGTTACCAACTTGATATTGGTAGCAGCCTAGTCACAGTAAATCTAATGTCACCACTTCTATTCGAAGATGCCGTCATCCATCAGTGATCAACTGACCAAGGGATGTTGCAAAAGCTCTGCTAGGTCATTAAAAACGGTCTCCCTCTGCCCCTTAAAGAGATATATGGACTGCTACAACGTGTCTAAAGTTAGGGATGCACCAATACCGGTTTTTCAGTAACGAGTACAGATTTTTCCCCCCCCCCCGGTACTCGCCGATACCGAATACTGATAACGGAAGTCCCATTAAGGAAGCCAGGCAGTGTGTAATGTCTCACCACCTAGCTTCCCGATTACCCGGGAAACGTGTAAAGACTCGTCACCCGGCTTCATGATTAGCAGGGAAGCCGTCTCCATGATCCCTCGTCACCGGGTGACGAGGGAACAGGAAGCCGGCTAACTGGCCGATCAGAAAGCCGTGGGGGGCGGGTAATGACTCACCATCCGGCTTCCTTTAAGAATACACCTAAACATGCATTTGTATCTCCATTCCACAGGGATGCGGCCATTTATATTAGTCCCACTCCGATTAAAAGCAACACCCATTACAGGTTATAAAAGTATGGTGCTTAAATTCGTCAAGCCTCTTTTTCCACTTCAAGTGTTACTAAAGTCAAACTGTTTTTAGGCTATTTTAAATGCTGATTAAATCACTTACAATGGATGCTGCTCCTTGATGATTAAAAGTTTCATCTTCCTGCAGAATCAGCTGAATGCCTGAGCACTGACCCTTATATCCTTTTTTAGGGTGCCTCCTTTCCATTGCAAGGTCCTATGGAGCCACCCTTGTGTCTGCTGGTAAGCTGTGTGTCTCCAGAAACATGCAGACACAACAAGGTAAGTTTCTACCCTCTCCCCTGCTTCTCCAAGCTAATAGGTGGACAACTGCAAGAGACTGTGCTCCCCCATGTGATCTTGCACTGGACAGTTTGAACTGAACAGTTTGAACGTCTTTAAGAAAAGTCCAGTTGCCTTGACTTATTTTTTACAGATATACTTGTACTGGACAGGAAGTTCAGGGAAGCCGAGCTGAGAGAGTTGGTGCCAGCTGATTGGAAACATGTCAGTAATTGCTTGGGCAGAAATGTTAAGAAATACTTTGCTGGAAATTGTTTTGTTTTAACTGAAATCATTATTGAAAAAGAATGATTACTTTTAGCTTTTAAGGGGAGAATAAAATATCCTTTTTTGCTATATTCCTAGAATGCAATCATTTCTGAAGGTTTGAAAAAAATCTTTGCTGTGTAGTGCAGCGTGCCTAACCATTAACATAACCATAACACATTCAAAATGATATCGCAACAACAAACTTCTTCAAGCCATGCAAGTAATTTAAACTAAAAGGTTGTTTTTTTAAAGTGGATGCCCCTCCACTTGGCGCCCATGTGACAGAACAAGAAAACGTATCATGTAAGCACTCACTGTGCGCATTTCCACCAGTCTCATGATGGCTGGATTCTCATTCAGGGATCTCCCATGAGTCTTCTCCATTATAAGGTATGCAAGATCCTGCATGTACATCACCAGCAACTGATCTTTTAATTCCAGGAAACTCAGACCCTGCAAAAGGACCACAAAAGTCACAACTCTTCCTATAGTCACAATTAGGGAACATTGTAAATGATTTTCCGTATTGCCCATAACAAATAGATTACAGCTAACATTTTCTACTGAAGGCAAATGCTGTGCTATGGCTAACTCCTCCTCATTCTGTTTTAATATGCAAGGCCTTTTACACCAAATCAGGAGATAACCTATTTCCAGTATTGTTGGGAGTTTTTTTCTTTGTACCAAGTGCATTGGCAAGACATGTGAACGCACAAACTATCACTATATGTACGACATGGCACTATGGGAAATTTCATAATCTGGTTTGACATTTTAGCAGAAGTAGTACAAAGAGCTTTCTGTCTCCAAGCTTCCCAAAGAAAGATTTTTGGACGAAACACTAAATCTTATCTTACTGACATTTTCTTCAACTTATTTTATACATGTATAAAACACTTTCTTCTCTCTCACTTTTTCTGTTGGGTATGTTCCATTGCGGATCTTCTCCGTTAGACTCTGCACATGTGCCGTGACAGCAGTGACCTGTAATAGCAACAAATGGTATAAAGCATAAACCTAAAGGATGGAAGCCTGTAGAAAAGATTCAGTATGAAAAATTAGAAATATTGTTGCCATACAAGTATATTACCTGCTGATGCAATGTGCTAATCAAGGTATTTGTTGTGGATAAATCCCTGGAAACAATATCCTAGGAAAAAAAGAAAAAAAATAAGCACCATGTTCTGTGCAAAATTCAGTAGGGGGAATTTATCAAAACTGGAGCAGACAGATCTGGAGCAGTTGTCCATGGCAACCAATCATCTTCTCTCTTCAGTTTGTTCAGGTAAGATTTGAAAATGAGACAAAGAAGCTGATTGGTTGTAATGCAAATCTGCCTCAGATTTTGTCTGCTTTGGTTTTGATAAATTCCCCCCATTGTTTTTTCGAGAACTAATAGGGCTTTCGTTTGACATCAAATAATTATAACTGAACTGTAATATGACTAAAATCTAAACAATTATGAGAAATTAAGACATTTTCATTTTTTTTTTTTCAAACATGCACACACACATTTTATTGGAAATATCATAATACTGATACGTTTTACTGCAATAAAACACCCATAGTTATATTCTACAATGTCAGCACAGAAGGGGTTATTTTAAAAAAATAATTAAGAATGGGTAAAACTAACAAAGGGTAAAATTTTAATTTTTGTAAAGTATTTTGTAAAGTGACCCTTTGCCCTACAATAATTACAGAATGCAAAAGACTGCAGAGGATTTTATGTTTTATTATATAAAAGAATATATTCTATTATATATAGAATGAAAAACTGTAGCCCTAAATTTCCTGAAGCCTCACAATATTCATCTCCCAAGATGCTTTTATCTGGAAAACCGAGGAGCTAGAGATCTACAGAAATTCTTGATATTCATGTTCACAGATGTCAGATTTGCCCGCAAACTCTGTAGCGCTTTTGGCTATAATGTTGGGTTACCTTTAGAATGGTGCCATTTAGTTTAAGGTTTAGGGTCCATTTTCTGGCCTGCTGTGAGAGCGCTCCCTCCTGCCTGTCTCCTCCTCTGCAGCAATGGTATGTCCCTTGGCATTCTCACTTCCAATACACTGTATTGGATGTGATGACTCAAGGACCCTAAGGGCCGGTTCACACCATAAAGAGCATGTTCCAGAGCGCTTGGCCTCTGGTACACACCTCGGCCGGCTTGCTTTGTTTTGGAGCGTGTGGCGGTGCATTGAAGACGGGGAAAGGTTTTGCGGCGCTAAGCCCTCGTTCACACCTGAACGTTTTGTAGCGCGTTCTACGCTCGATGAACGCTCTACAAGACGCTAAAAAATATAAATCCCATTGTATTCAATGGTCTCGTTCCCACCTTGGCGTATTTCCGCCTGTCCCTAACGCGCTACAAAACGGCCCACGCCTGAAAAGGTACATGTACTACTTTGGGCCGTTTTGTTGCGCGTTTCCATTGGGATACAGCCAAGTAGCCTTCGGAAACGCGCAACTTTTTTACCGCGAATCGCGGTAAAAAAACACGCGACAGACGCGCATATGCAATACGCCTAGGTGTGAACGAGACCGTAATCCCCTTCAGTGTTTAAACTAAATAAATGAAACACTATCAAGTGCTGAAGACAATGGCACCGCAGCCACGCCCCCAGTCCGCAGTGCAATCGCCAGCACCTGAACGTGTGGCACATTAGTGCCTGCGCTGCGGTCCAATGCGATCTGCAAAAATGCTGCATGCACATTGACTTCAATGCACCGCCAGGCCCCATCCCCCTCCAAAACAAAGTGAGGCGGCCGGGTTGCGTTCCAGAGGTCAAACGCTCTGGAACGCACTCTTTATGGTGTGAACCACCCCCAAGGTCCCTTTCATATGGGGCTGATTAGGAGATTCCTGCGTGGATCCTCCTGATCAGATGTCACTGCTGTGACATCCGTGTCCATACAGTTCCCTCTTCCATTGAAAGAACTGAAACTGCCAGACCCCATGTTGGTCTATGGGGAATTGGATGTAAATGGAAATGTGTCCGTTTACATCAGATTACCCCCAATCAGGTACCATCCAATCCAGCGAAACGGATCTTTGATCCGTTTGTTTTTTCTGGGCCTGGCCAGAGTGGGGGTAGATTACATTGGGCATCAGATTGGGTCTGCTTGAAAAAAAACTGAGACAGACCAGATTGGACCGCCCGTGTGAAAACCTTATACCGATGGAGCAGAGGAGGCGAGAGTCTCTAGGGACCAGTCTAAGAGCAAGCCGGCCCAATGGATCAAGGGAGCATATCTTTTTTTTTTTTATACCCTAGCCAAAAATGAGCAGTTCACCCTTGCAGTGCGGTGGTAGCTCCATTGCAAGTATTAATACAATTTGTAACTGGAGTCCTGCTTTAAGTAGCTATTATTTCTATCGATTCAATCTATAAATAAATTACAAGGAGTGGTTAGCATTTTTTATGGGCTGATCATTTCAAATGATTTTTGTGACTATATTAAACATACTGCATAAACTAATTGCGTAGATTTCCTACCCTTTAATGGGGGCCCTGACTAATCACAAAATGGAGCCTGAAGCTGTACCCTTTGTGATGGGCCAGAAGGAGACAGGGCTGGAGATGTGATCTCAGCGCTGATGTCTATGGGACCTGCAGTGCTACAGCCGGAGAGGGCAATGGAAGTTTAGCGGAAGCTGGACTTCCACCCACATGTATACTGATGATTCGTGGGGAGAAGGAGGCAGTTGGGGATTGAGCAAGTTGATATAACTTGTAAATAAATATTAGGTTTGCATCTTTGATTTTAAATTAAAAGAAAACTATGGGGTAAGTTTTTTCCCCCATAGTTCTCCTAAGGGTCACGGGAGGGCATATAATAACGTCCTCCCGTGACCCAAAGCTTAGTATATCACAAGCTACAGCTCGCGGTATACTGAGACGCTGCAGCTGGGACGGAACCCGACATTACTGTCCAGAACCACCCAGCTGCGTGATTGACAGCTGGCTCTGCCTATCTAGAGGCTGCAGTGATGTCCCTTGTTGTCCTCATATCCTATGCATTGTGTATAGAACGTGATGACTCAAGGATCCTTTGACCACTGCAGCAGAGGGACTGGTCTAACAACAAGCAAGCCCCGAGGAGCTATTATTGGAGCCAGACACAACCGAGAACTCAACCCTTGTAGTGCAGGGATAGAACCACTGCAAGTTAAAAAGTATGCCTGGAGTTCTGCTTTAAGTCTGGTAAAAGGTGGCAACCCAAGAGCACAACTGGGAGACAGGAACAGAGTGTTGTCACCCTTGAATAGGAAGTTCATGGCAGGATCATGTTATTTCAATAAAAACTTCATTTTTAGAAATATTAAAAACATTTGAAATTATAATGCATTAAAGATCATGAGATTTTAGTGAGTGGGCTTACATTTACTCTACGAGCTACAACATCAAACATTTTCATGTGTACATATACAGTGTTATGACAAACTATCTACCCCAGCACTCAAGAAAACATACCCGTATACTACAGGCTTCAATATTTACTCATTTAAGCCAATACGGAGAATACCCCAGCATCTATCATTTCTACATAGGAATACGCCACGATATCACACGTGAGTCTGCATGACGCTTACCTCCACGGTAGCCATGTCTCCCTACACACTTGCACAAGGGGCGGGCATCGAGAACTAACGCCTCCCCCTGCACCCGGCGCAGGAAGCGGAAATCGCTATTCTGACTTTCTCCAACTAACCAATTGCTGACCGTCTTTCTGAAGGATTCACCAATCAGAGATGCGCTGCTCGTACAGGAAGTGTAGATGAGGGAATCTCGGGTGGCCATTATTACTGTGGTCATATTATTGGAGAGGTGTAGATGTAGTGTATAAAAATAAGAACGCCTACCATTCTAATGTCGGAGGTTTTCTTTAACAGATGAGAGTTAGGTTATTGAGTTATTAAAGTTGGACGGGCGAAATGTGATATAAATGCTAAATCTCCTCTGAATTGAGCACTTGTATCATTGGAGCGCCCTCTCGTGGGCAAAGTGCAGACTGTAGCTTGGCTGGTTCTGTTAGCCGTACAGCTTTATACGTTTTACTTTTTGATGCAGCTTAGGAGACTGGGTGCACACTATTGCAATTTTTTGTATAAAGCATTTTCCATTAAATGAAATGGAAATGCATCAATGAGTGTGTCAATGAGCATCAGGATGTACATCATTGCATGTCAGCGTGTCTTTACGCATAGTTGACAACGTTTCAAAAAAATTCCTGGGGACACATTTTTTTTACTGTGCATCCAGCAAGCCATTGTAGGTGGAAAATGTTTTTTTAATTGGGTAGGGGGGCATTTATTAACCTCTTAAGGACAGAAGTTCAGTCCAAGTTCTGAACGTAAACAAAGCGCAGAATTTGAGCTATATGTCTATTTAACCATAATTTACCTCTTTTACATGAAGTGCACCCACACTTATTATATATTAGGGGAAATGTATCAAAACTGGTGCAGACAGAATCCAGAGCAGTCGCCCATGGCAACCAATCAGCTTCTCTCTTCAGTTTGCTCAGGTAAGATTTGATAATGAGACAGAGAACCTGATTGGTTGTAATGCAAATCTGCCTCAGATTTTGTCTGCTTCGGTTTTGATAAATTCCACCCATTGTTTTTTCGAGGACTAATAGGGCTTTCGTTTGACATCAAATAATTATAACTGAACTGTAATATGACTAAAATCTAAACAATTATGAGAAATTAAGACATTTTCTTTTTTGTTTCAAACATGCACACACACATTTTATTGGAAATATCATAATACTGATACGTTTTACTGCAATAAAACACCCATAGTTGTATTCTACAATGTCAGCACAGAAGGGGTTATTTAAAAAAAAATAATAATAATAATTAAGAATGGATAAAACTAACAAAGGATAAAATTGTAATTAAAAGAATGCAAAAATTGCAAAAGCTAATCAGCACTGAAGGGGTTAAAAGATAAAAGTATTAAACATGGGTACAATTAACGAAAGAAAGAAAACAAAAACCACAATAATCCTGCCATGGGAAGGCACTATAAACAGGCATCGTGTGGTTAACAGGGAGGCTGCAGAGGTCCCCAGCAAACGCGGGACCTCAGGCAGCCACTTAAAGTGACATGAAACCCTCAGATTTTTTAACATAAAACAATACTGTAATGTGTGCCTTACCCTAATCCATGGTTGTTTCCCTTCTCTTTGCTGCTCTTCCTTTTAGATCCGTATCTCTTCTCATGCTGGGCAGAACTTCTGTTTTGCAGCAGACTGCCTTGTCTCTGGAATGGATACACGGTGCCTGTGTGTAGGTTCACAACCTGAGCCAGCACTACAGGAAGAGGCACCCAGCTGCAAAGGGAAGTTCTCCCCCAGCATGAGAAGACATGAGGATTTAAAAGGAAGAGCAGCAAAGAGAAGGGAAACAACCATGGATTACAGTAAGGCACACATTACAGTATTGGTTTATGGTAAAAAATCTGAGGGTTTAATGTCACTTTAAGTTTAAAAATTTAGTGCCAGTATCTGCGTTTAGTATCGGGGCATTTTCACAATTACTCGCAAAAATGCCCAGTATTGGCACTGATGCATCCCCACTTAATAATATGATGTATTGTTGGGACTTGTAGTCCTACATAGTTGGTGCTTTTCTGCATTGCTGTATAATCATTACACAGCAATGCAGAATAGCACCAGCTATGCAAAACATTAGTCCCAGCAAAACATTATAAGGTAAATCAGCAATGCTGAATACCACCAGCTTCTCAGTTCCGCCAGTGTCGGTGGGTAAGTATAACGGGGGATGGGGAGAACAGAAAGGTTTTAGAAGTTAGGACGTTCCATGCTGTCGTAACGTCTTTAAAGCCCATGTTTTCCAGGACGGCATGGAACATCCTAACGTCGGGAAGAGGATAAAAATGGGTGTAGTTCTATAAGAGGTATATTGCTGACCTATTGCGCAATTTAATTTTAAAATATTGTATATACAGGAAGATTTCAAATACTAAGGACAGAAACACAGGTCGAGAAGATATTGTCCATGAATTCAACTACCGGTATTTATGTATTTGTTTAGGTTTAGCATGCTACAACTTTTAGTCTGTACAGATTATTTAAGGTGTAGCAACCCAATAACTCTTGCAAAGGATACATGTCATCATGGAAGTGGGGTATCCTGGAGGGAGGGGGCTTACATATTTGTTTATTGATGTGCATATACCATGGTTTTTTAATGAACTTGTCTTTTGCTGAATAAAATAATGTTTTATTCAATGCATACAGTGGTCTCGACATTGGACTATACGGTGTATGTCTTGTGGTTTCATTTGCATTGCAGCCCCACCTGTAATCTATTTCACACACCTGAGCACAGAAGGTATGTGAGGATATTCACACCGATTTATTGTAACAAACTCCTTAAGATATTCTTAAGTTTATACAATAAGGATAATCTATATTGTGTCTTCTAGATAAGTGTTTCTCAACTTTTTGTCAGTCTAGACACCCTTCAAAAGTATGCTAAATCTACGCCATCAGAGGGGTATAGCCGGTACCCATGTGAGAGGTCTGGGGGGCCTCTTACATGGGTATCACGACCAGACTAGCCCACCTGGGACCCTGCAGAACCCACCATAGAGAGTCTCAGGTGGGCTATACAGGATCTATGGTGTGCTCTGCAGGGTCTCAGGTAAGTCCAGCACGCTACTGCAACATTAGAGACCGCTGGGGGGGAGCGGGGGCCAGTGTAATCCGCTACCGGGCCCCCCCCGTCCCCGTCTTGGGAGGGGGGCCCAAGATAAAATCTTGCACCAGGGCCCTTTGGTTGTTAGTTCCGCCACTGTTTCAGCTAGCCCCAAATGTTCACATTCCAGATCTAACAGGGTTACTCACAAAAGGGTGAGGGGTGTGGAAAGGGCAGGAGAAGTGAACAATCTAGGACAACATAGCTGAACTGTATCTGTAAAAAATAAGTCAAGGCAAGTGGACTTGTATTTTTCTTGAAGATGTTTCAATGGACGTCATACCAGCTTTCTCAATTCAGAATGACTTGTGCAGAAATTCTCTGGGAATAAATATGGTGAATGTCGCTCCAATCCACATAATCTGTTAGTCACAACCAGGTGTTGATTGTACTACAGGAATTAGCATCAGTTGTTTTATCATTGATTTTGTAGGTATTTTAGTGAATCATAATAGTGACCAGTATCTTATACTGACTTTCCCCTCAAAAATACATGTAAAGCTGGATATAGTGTGGATACAACTCAAAGAAGATATGACAGGCTGGCCGGGAAATTCCCTCACCTTGATCTCAAAAAAATATACAACAAAAGTTTTCTTGAATGCACCCTCCACACATGCTACTCTAATCGACTTTCCATAAAACAAAAACTTACATCAGCATTTTGCCTGATTGGACACCAATAGGCCCCTACTGGTCGTTGTCATTATCGAAAGTTCCCAAGAAGACAACAGAAACCCTGTCCCTTTATGGTAATATATCTAAATCAAAAGGTACACACTGAATCACAAATGCAAAATAGGCTTTATTAGCACACTCACATCATTAAAAAAATAAAATCTCACCCATTTAAAGGAGGGATCACCTTCGCACTCTCAAAGCCATACACACTGGCAGAACTACCAGGGTCGCAATTGCGACCGGGCCCTGGCGTTCCGCCACTTGGGGGGGGCCCAGCGAGCAAGAAGAGGGCCCACCTGAGATAGTGCCGCTCCTTCCATTGCCGGACAGCCACTCGCAGTATGTATGGGCGACTGTGCGGCAGGTATGGAGAGGCTGTCACTGGCCCCGCAGAATGTGCTGCAGGCACCGCCGGGCAGCACATTCTGCTGTGTGAGGACCCTCTCCTCTTAGCCCCGCCCCCTGGCCGCAGAGACGAGGAAGGGGGCCCTGCAGGAGAGGGAATGTAAGTCTGGAGTGGAAAGGGGGGGCGCGCGGGTAAGTGTGTTTGTGTAGTGCTGACTTTTATTATAATGTATTGCTGGGACTTGTAGTCCAGCATAGCTGCTGGTATTCTGCATTAATGTATGAAGATTATACAGCAATGCAGAATAGCTCCAACTATGTAGGACTACAAGTCCCAGCAATACATTATATTTTTAAGTAGGGATACACGATACACCAGTGTTAATACTGTGCATTTTCACAAGTACTCATACTCGTGAAAATGCTCCGATACTAAACGCAGATACCGGTGTTCGACATAGTCGAATTTGCCGACCTCAGCATCTGCGCTTGCGCACAGACCAGTGTTATTGAGGAAATCGGAATTTATTCACAAACTATTTCGTTTAAATCGTTAATTGTGACTGTTAATAATATTCCATCCATCATTCACTGCCATCCATCATTCACTGCCATGGACAGCATATTATTAACGGTCACAATTAACCATTAAAAACGAAATCTTTGTAAATAAATGCCGGTTTCCTTGGTAATCCCGCCTGTACGTAAATGCAGATACTGGGTCGACAGAACACCAGAACTAAAATTTTAAACAAGTGGCTGCTTGCTGGGGACCTCAGCAGCCATCCTGTTAACCATGCGGTGCCTGGGGGGGGGTTCATGGTTTCTTGCACCAGGGGCCCTGAAGGTTC